CGGTATCAGGGATTGAACTCAGGCCCTTGTGCTTGCCAGGGAAACACTTATTCTACTGAGCCATCTCCCCGGCCTTATTAATTTCTTGGTGTTCTCTCTCTCTCTCTCTCTCTCTCTCTCTCTCTCTCTCTCTCTCTCTCTCTCTTTTCTTCTTCTTTTTTTGCAGAACCAGGGATTGAACTCAGGCCCTTGCACTTGCCAGGCAAGTGCTTATTCTACTGAGCTATCTCCCTAGAGGTCAGTTCAGAGTGGGGTTTTCTGTGATTCTGTGAATCTTCCCTACTTTCCTCATGGTTTCAAGAGAAGTAAAGGAAATATTTGGTTCTGATTTGGTGCAGTTTGGCATATAGAAGTACTGGGGACTAAACCCAGGGAGCTCTGAGCTATACCCCCAGCCATTCTTAGAAATCTTTATTTTGACACAGGGTCTCACTAAGTCGCCCAGGCAGGCCTCCAACTTATAATCATCCTGCCTCAGCCTCCCCAGTAGCTGGAATATCAGGCCTGAGCCAGCACAGCTGGCCAGACAGTAGTGTTTCAGAGCGTGCAGTAGAGCCCTTCATCAGTACCTGGCATCCCCAGGAGTTCCGGGCCTTCTGTGTCCCATACTAAGCTCTGAGTACGTATGCCCAAGCCCGTCTTCCCCAGGTCTACCATTAGCCAGCCAGATACCCAGGAACCAGCCCTGTCCCTCCCTGCCCCGTCCCACAGCCCAGTAGCCCAAAGCCCTGTCTCCAGCCCTCCCTTCTGCTGAGCTTCACACACACACACACTGTCACTGTCATAGCTGTCCCCTCCCTTGGGCAGGGCCTCATATGACTCCTTCCACCCCAGTCTGCCCCTCCCACTTCCAGGGGTCTCCACACAGGGCTGACTCTTTCTTTTTTTTTTTTTTGGCGGAACCGGGGATTGAACTCAGGCCCTTGCACTTGCCAGGGAAGTACTTATTCCACTGAGCCATCTCCCCAGCCCCCAGGGCTGACTCTTGTCCCCCCACTATCCCCACCTCCCAGGACTTAGTCCCAGCCCCAGCCTGGTATCCACAGTCCCTGGTAGCCTTGCTGCCCGATGCTACTGGCCCCACCTGTAGGTGACCCTCTGACTCCTCCCAGGCATGCTAGGGGCTGAATCCTCAGTCATACAAGGCCTGGCCCCTCTCTGCAGCGAGGTGACCTTAAGCAGGTCCCTTTCCCTTTGAGATCTGTTCCTTCATCTTTAAAATGGTGCATGGGGAGAGAGCTCAGTGGAATAAGTGCTTGCCTGGCAAACTCAAGGTCCTGAGCTCCATCCCTATTACCACAAAAAAAAAAAAAAAAAAAAAGACAGCACAGGGAGAGGCGGAGGACGACGGCCTGCTGCACAAGTTCCCTGCTCTGCACAGCGCCTCACACACCCCAGGCGCCTAAGGCGTGAACCCCATCCAACCTCCTCTGCTGCCCCCAAAGCCATGTTTCCAAGGACTTCCAGCCCCACCCCTTGAACCAGAGTTTACAAAGCTGCTCTGCTTTTGTCCCACTGGGAGAACCTTCTGGAAAGCAAAACAGATTTGCCTGGCTGTCACCTTCTACTTGAAGATGTCCCCAGGGAGACAGAATCACACAAAAGCTCCCTCATGGGGTCCCCAGCTGCCGCTGGGGCTCAGTGGGCCACAGTGTACCTGCTAGGTGCTGTCTCCATTTCTCAGATAGAAGCTGAGGCTCAGAGAGGGAAAGTCTCTTTCTTTAAGTCACATAGTCAGGAAGGAGCCCAGCTGGTGTTCAAATTCAGCAAAAGTCACTGCTCTCTAGCACCCCACCAACATTGTGGGTCCAGAGCTGGGGAGATAGCTCAGTGGCAAGAGTGCCTGCCTGGAAAATTTGAGGTTCTAAGTTTGATCCCCAGTACAAAAAAAAAAAAAAAAAAATACATGGTGGGTCCAGTTGGGGGAACTTGGGGCTACAGTGCAGGGTATGCTTCTAGGAAAGTCTAGTCAAGTCAGCATAAACAACCTCCCCACTCAGGTCCCCGGAGCCCCGTAACCCTGCTCACCAATCCCCTCCATCTCTATGCTCAGATTCTACTCACTCACCAAAGTCCAATATAAATACCGCTTTCTCCCTGGAATTTCTTCCCACTGATGGTGACTGTTCCTCAAGCTTTTATCTGAAGTTTTACTTAACAGGACTTGGTGTGGCTCAGTGGCAGAGCACTTGCCCAGCATGTGTGAGTCCCTGGGTTCCATCACCCCCGCCACATGCACATACACACACCCGCAAAGACAGAGATACCGATGCCTAGTGGGATCTGCTCCTTGTGATCAGAAATGGCTCTGTGTTGAATGAATAAAACCCATTCTCAGCCTCTGTCAGGCATCCATGATGCTGTTCCTAGTGAAATAGCAGAGTTCCCCATCTAAAGTGTAGCACAGTATAGAGGGATGTAAGAAAGGAAGAATGGGTGGGTAGATGGTTAGGTGGAAAGATGGATGGATGGATGGATGGATGGATGGATGGATGGATGGATGGGTAGGTGGATAGTTGGGTGGATGGATGAAAGGTGAGTGGGTGGGTAGATGGGTGGATGATGGATGGATGGAAGGATGGATGGATGGAAGGGTGGGTGAGTAGATGGATGGATGGATGGATGGATGGATGGATGGGTAGAAGATGACAAATGGACAGATGGAAAAATGAAGGATGAACAGATGAAAAGATCAATGGCTGTATGGGTGGACTGACAAATGAAAGGATGGATGGATGGACCCAACAGAGAAACGCAACAGAGGGGAAGAACTCAGAGAGAGAAGGCACATAGCCCCAGGTGAACAAGGGTGACAGAGCATCCAGGCCAGGAAAGGGGCGACAGCCGAGCTGAGAGAGAGGAGCACATGGGAGCCCAAGGGTTACCATTCACGAGGGCCTTCAAGACAATGGTCTCGAACTCCTCGGAGCCGTCCTCCGACGAGTAGACAGTCAGCAACTCCTTCCGGGTCATGATCCTGTCCACCTGCAGACACACAGTCCTGCACACCCAGCCCAGCACCCCCAAGCCATTGCTCCTCAGGAGCCCTGGCTCCAACCCCAGACCTCAGGATCCATAGGAGACCCCCCCAAGTCATACCTGGGCCTGCAGGACCTCGGGGTCCCCTTTGGGGAAGAAACGCCTGATCCGATCTCGGGCTTCACCCCGCCTGGTGCCTCCACTTCCTGTGGCCAGAGAGTCTTCCAGTGTCTCCACCAGGCAGTCAGCAGCACCCCCAGAGCCAGCTACCAGGAGGCAGGGGAGCTGGACCTGTGTGGCATCCTCTATCCGCTAAGAATGCAGGGGACAGCAGGTTGGAGAAGGTAGGACGTTGACCCTCTACCCCCTCCTCCCCTAAGAAAGACTCTGGGCCCAGAGACAGGCTCCTTCCACCTGCCCTGTACCTTCAGCATCCTCTCATCACCATCGATCAGGAGGAGGAGGACAGGGATGTCAATTCCAGTCCCTGAGGGAAGAGAGCCAGGAACATGGTTACCACCCATCAGCCTTTGCTGTCTGTGGAAGACCACACTTCTCAGGAGTCTCTGGGGCAAGAGGTTGACCTCTTCCTAATTCTGTGCTTTGAGAATCATGGGACCTGTGTGTGTGTCTGTGTGTGTTCGTGTGTGTTACTAAGAACTGAACACTTTGCCTTTCCACTGAGCTATATACCCAGCACAACCTCCTTTAATAAAAATTACCTAAGGGCCGGCCAGATAGCTCAACAGATTAAATCACCTGCTTAGGCAGAGCTCAGCAGCTGGGGTTCGATCCCCAGTGTGCCATGCGGGCCCAACCCTGGGGCATGCTCAGACAGGGATTGACACTTGGCGTGGTGGCGGGAGCCTGTAATCCCAG